GATCTAAACACACACACGCGCTGGCGCGCAAGCAACTATGAGCAACTCGCCGCTGTTTAAAAAAGGACGCTGTAAATGTAGAAACCACGACTGTGCTATAAAGGAGAACAATCTAATCACTCATAACATCCCGCGTAGCTTCGGCTCTCCTCTCTCTCCAGCACGCTCGATGTGAGAGGAATGAAGTGATTTCCTACATTTATAGAGGAGAGGGGAGGCGCCAAGGCAGCCAGGCTGACAGACCAGCCAGAGGAGCCGCTCAATCACATCAGCCGCGGAGCGCTGCTCACAGAGCCGAGCCGAGAAGGCGTGTCTCCGAGTCTGTGCGTGTGTTTGTATCTGTACTGTATATGTTGGACTTCTCCTGCCATTAACACTGGACCAGTTCCTGTAAAGATGATCCTGGTCCAAATCCTGGTCTTCTCTATGTAGGAACGATGGTTTAAAGCTGTGGTCAAAATGAGTGTTTGGATAAAGATCGGTTTAGAGTCAGGTGTTTACTGGTTCAGGGAAAGTTAGTATCAGGATTATAGGCAGTTTGAACTGAATAGAAGCCAAGGATAATTACGTGCGTGTGTGATTAGGCCTTTGTGAGGATCCCGACAGCCTCCTGATTGATGTAGTCGGAGGTGATGGTGTGTTTGCTTCTTTTTACCGTGCTGATTAGCACCTTGACGCATCTTTAGTGCCATGGTTATCGGTGCGTAATTGCGCGCAGCCTCGCCCTTGTTGATCCAGAGCAGGATCACCTGCATCAGGACTGCCATGGAGAAAACTAAAACATCATTTCTGATGGCAATATATACACATTAAGTACCAGTGAAAATGACTTAGCAACCACAAGTCATTTCGGTGCTGTACTCACAATCTTTTTCGACTGCTAGTTGATGTATTTTCACACCCCTGACTGCAGGGATGCAGTTCTATAGGAAACCCGGTGCAGGCCAATTTGGCAGGGCCTCCCTGCCAACTCCTTCCCCCGCTGTGTGTTATTATTCCTCGTACATTCCTCCGCTCTTCGGGCGGCGGTGCCGCTGCGCTCTCTCCTTCACAGGCGCACATTGAACCGCCCCACCGGGCAGACTGCCTGGCGCCGCACATCAGGAGCTCATCCATTCACAAGCAACTTCTTCTTTATTTCTTTATTTCTTCAAGGCCCTTACGTTTGTCTTCTACAGGGATGACACCACGCCAGAATTCCTGTGGACATATAGTGTCCCACGGCTTATGGGAACTTGCACCGTCTGCTCCATCATGAATACAGACGGCCTTGAATGACTGTACATTGGTGTTTTCCTCCTTCCTCTGCGCTCGGCCTGTCTCCCTGTTTTCTGTTGCCATGGGAAGTGACTGCTCTGCTCAATAATGTGTGCAGCAATGTTTGGTTCTGGGGCAACTTCAAAGAGGTCAGTGGTATGAATCTTTGATGCTTGCCTTTCTCTGCCAGCAACATGGTGCATGAACTCTCAGTCCATGACAGGCAGATGAGGAATGAGCTCTGAGAGAGAAACACTGTCCATTTGCCTCAGCCATGAATCACAGATACCACCGCTCTGACCATTTATGTCCATAATAAAACCGAAAGTTTGGAGACTCTCCTCCACTAACTCTGGTGGATTATGGAAACCCTGTTCCTAAAACACTTTCCTTGAGAGATACATTGGTTTATCATAAACATGTAATAACATTAGATTTATAGACATAAGCAGACAGGATTCCAAAGACAGTCTGAATGAAAATACTTTTTCTTTTAAAATAATCTTCAATGTTAGACATTAATGTCAGTCAGCAGCTTAGTGACTCAGTTTGAAGTTCATTCTAGTATTTCTGCCCTGTTCCAGTAGAAGCCATACCCACAGGTAGGGTTAAGGAACCTGAACCTGGTCAGGACATTAGGTTGGTGTTGTTAAAGAGAAAGCATTGAACTCATGCAACGTATGCAAAATCCCCTGGTCCAGGTGCCTCCACCAGATTACAGGTGTTAAGAGATAAAGCCATACTTTTAGCTTTTAAAACTAGCGATTGAACAGCGTTTAATTACAGCACCAGGTCAAGGGCATAGTGCTCTCAAAGTGTACTACAGCACTGACCATTCACTAATTTGTAAGTGTTTATACCTCAAACTTAGTCGCAAGAAATCTGCAGCTATTCCACATTTGGATTTGAAACCAAAAAGTATTATAAACTTCAACAATGACATTCTAGCCTTAAAAATCTATTCACTCTCTCATCTCCTTTTCACTTGTCCTGTGATTACTGATATTCACCAACTTTAACTGATGCTTGGAATGTGGATTTTCTAGCACCCCAATGACTTGCTAAAAGAAGCAAAAACGATTTAAAAATACACAGGCAGAATGCACCAATGCACTTAAAGCCATTAATTACTGTATCTCTCTACTCCCCCCTACTGTAGTCTGCTATCACCTCCTAACTTTACTGCTTTTGCTATGCAATTGTCTAAAATACCAGCCTCACCTTCATTGATTTTGCTGATGCGTTCCATGAATTATCTTTGGCCAGTGGCTCAACATTACCACTGACCACTGCTCATTGATTTTCTATTTCTTTCATAATGGCTGAATTTCATTTCAATTGTAAGCCTGCGTGTTACGTATTGATTTGCTGGGGCTCAGTCTGGTTTCACTCTCAGACTGTCTTTACAGGCAAATATTTAGTGAATTCCTGACATCCACTTCCAGCGAATCAAATACTAGAGTGGCTTGACCCCAGTATGACCCACTATCTGTCTTTATCTAAATATCGATAGGCTGGGATGATATTTAATTGGAACCGGGGTGAATTATTTTCTGTAACACATTTTATTTTTGTTGTTGTCTACCATGCCTGGAGTGTGATATTAGGAATGTAAGCCTATATGGTTGAGTATCAGAAAGTCCAGTCATCAGAAATTAGCCAAATACAACCTGCTTTCATTGCAAGGTCATTGTCAGAGACTACAGTAGAGGCTTAGTTCAGGGTGTTTGAAACCTCTGGCTGTGGAGATGAATGCAAAGCTCAGCATCTTTGATTTGGCTCCGTGATCACATTTAAAGTTTATATAGAACCAAATTCAAGCCATACTAAACTTTGATGTATGGTCTGCTGGCTAACAATAAAACAGCATAATCTTGCTGTTTTCTTTAACTCAAACATAGGTGTGAAATCTCTCACACAGCGGTGCAGGTTAAGAGGAGACTATTGACAAAGTGGTCAAATAATTAATACTCTCTGTATTATGTTGTCAGACTGAATAATGAAGCCTTTTGTGCTAAAAATTGACAATTACCCTCAGGTGGAAATTTAATTATTTTGTTATCACATGAGAGGTAAATCAACATATTTCGAAATTCTACATTATTCTCTAACATAGAGTTCTATATCATTATCTCCTTCTAGTAAAACTGTCTTTTGCAGTTCAGGTTAAATTTAATGAGTTGGTACCATGATAAAATCTCTTCTTTGGTGGTGAAGGCTGCAGCTTCTCTCCTAGGTCTATACTGATGTGAGGTGAGGAACAACCCCTACGGACTAGTTCCTACTGTAAAGATCAGGTTGGAGGGACCTAGGCCACTCTTCGTGTTTCACAGCCGACAGCTGCTCATTGCATCGACTGCATGTGTTTTTATTGAAGCTGTTCTGTTATACTAGCCAGCTGTAAACCAAATAGCACAATAAAATTAGTGAAGATGTCACAGTACCCAGTCATTTTTAATCACAAATGTCTACATGATGTGAGATTTTGTGACTTTGGTGTTTAATTACACTGTTAAAACAGACTTACCAAACCTGGTGGCAGCAGATCAGAGGCTCTGATAATAAAAAAAGTAAAAAAAAAACCCACTGGCCCTTTAACTTGGTACCAGCCTCTTATCTCTGAACAACTTCCCGTGCAACATTCATAGTTCGCGGAACAAACTAACGGTGTGATCTGCTCTACGTATATGCACTTCTGTCTTTGTGTTTGCTTTCTCATGCTTCCTCTGCCTGCACTTCTCTAATTGTGGCCCATTTGCTGCAACTTCCCAAAAGGTTTAAAGCGCTGCTGACTGGGGACTGGAGCGAGGTAACTGGAGACTCATTAGGCCACAAGAATCAGCCTGATGGGTGAACCTTGGTGTTTGTTGTGGCTACACAGTGTGGAGACTCAGAACAGACTATTTACCTAACCAGTCTGCTATATTTATTTCTATGCAGATCAAGAGCAATGCCAATTATTTTTTGTGGTCCAGGACCAGCAGTTCTGCTGAAATGCACACTTGAATATTGCATACAGGTCACATCCTGTGTGTACCTCACAAACTGTTGGTAAAACCTAATCAATTTGGTTTTGAAATAATACTTAAATAATACTGTTGTTGAAGTGTTTGGATGTGTCTTGACCAAAAATACAAATTTATTGGAATAAATTAAAAACCTGGTGGATGGATATTGTACTGCAAGTATAAATGTCCCCCCTGGCTTTTACCTTTTGTTGTAGCCACAGTTACAGGTCAACCTACCATGATGTCAAATTTCACACGGGCTAAGAAACTTGTATTTGTACCTGGGACGTAAAGGGCAACAACAGGTTAAATGGTTTGCCAAAGGGCAGAGGGCGGAACCCAACAGCTTAAACCCAACTGCCTTTAAACCCAGTTGGGTTAGATACAAGTATCCAACTACATATATGTAACATTTATTTACATATATCTAATATGCATAACTATACAGTATCTATATACATACATATATAGTTGATATAATAATTAATAATGGACGCAATGCATAGATTGGATCCAATGATCTGTTGCTGCAAAGCTGAACACTAACTAATAACTTAACTGACTAACTAACTCCTTGATTACTCCTTATTTTTAAACCAAAAATATTAAATAATCAACAATATAAGCTGTAGTCTGATTTGTTATTTACAGTAAATTTCAGTTTGTATCAAACTGTAACAGGAATTACTGTATATTGTAATTGTATATTACCTAATATATATTACCTCTATATATACTGTACTTATACAGAATATATAGAAGAAGACACAGACGTTCACGGTCACATTCCACCATTTGAGAAACACTGCAGTGGAATCCTCTTCAACAGTGGCACAGTTGTGCTAATATCCTGTGTAGTAGCACTTCCTTTTGACTCAAATTGCAAAACTGTAAATCAGTCAGTTCTGCCCAGGTTGGGGTTGAGAAGCTTTTATTCTGAGGAACTCGTCTACACATCGTCAGCTACTTACGGTCAGCTATTTCCTGCAAGTGTGAGGACGTGTGTCAAAAGTGAAAAGAAAAGATGTTTTAAAAAAGGTAAACATCAGTCCTTGAAGTACAGCTCAGTTCAACATCAGTTGCAGTAGAACTGCTGTTGGTGTACCCTGAAGCCCAGATCTGTCCTAAACTGCTTGGCTCAGCTGTGGTTAAGATGGGTGGTGCCATCTCTGGTTTTTTTTTCTTCCTCTGTCTCACCAGGTGACACATTTTGCTCAACATGTCTTATTCCCTCATGGCCTCGCAGCTAAACCCAACAGTCCTCTGTGTGTCATTTACACAGGTGCATCCAATGTTTACATTGTGCCTCCTGAGAAACCACACACACACACACACACACACATGCATGC